CTCGTCCCACATGGATAGAAAGTGAGATTTATTAACTCCTTATAAATCCTAAGTAGTGGGTTACCAATAAATTTCTACCATGGTTTTAAGTTGGATTCAAAGTTATTTGGTCAGTCCGTTGCTTTGGACTTTGGGGTGTTACAAATGATATCAGAACCGATCCTTATACCATCGGGATGGTGGGGCAAACCTCATCTGGTATGGTATGATAAGTCCTTGAGATGGGGTGTTTATAACATCTTAGGCGAATCCCACATTGCCAATGACAATGTGGAAGATTTTGGGCAGGCTGACGAAGACGTGAAGAGTTTAAGTGGACAGTTTGTAACAATTCGTCCAATTTTTGTTTGTTTATATTTAAATGAACGAATACGAATAATGGTCTCATTGATTCAATCATGATCGTAAACCTTTGTTTATAAATACATATTTATGAATTATTCATTATTAATATCATGATAAATGTCTCCTTGTAAATATTATTAATAATGAAAATAAATAATATTCATGGTGAATAACATTCCTTAATATTTAGGTATGTAGATTAAAGGAAAATCGAAAAGACAAACGACTTGTCTAAAAGAATGAGCTGCTCCCAACTCACACTATGGTGGATGAGGTGCCATGAAGATCTAGGAGTGTGACCAGTACAAGCTGAAAAGGCTCCGATACTGAAAAGCTTCCACATTGTTCCTATCTTCATAATGAATATTTATGAATAATTGATTTTCAGAGTTACTAACGGTTCCTAAATAAACTTTATAGATTTTAGAAAAGAGTAAATTACGAATTTGGTCTTTGTGGTTCACACTTTCTACCCACAGTGGTTACAAAATCAAAATAAATACAGATTTGGTACCCTTGGTATGCATTTTCGCACCTATTGAGTCCCTTTCTCTCTCACAAAATACGTCAGTTAAATAATAGGACATTTTGGTCATTTATCATTGTTTTGTATTTTTCATAATATGAATCTTCATCTTGTCTGAAGAACAAGAAGATGAAGAACAACAAGATGAATATGAGCAAACTGTAAAACTTAAATCAAAGCATAAATTTAACCAAACTCTTTTTTTTTCTTTTTTTTTTCAAGCATTAAATACATAAACATATCCTAAATCAAAATTTAAAATCCAAAACTAAGATCCTAAACCTAAACCTAAGCCAAAATCGAAATCAACATAAAAATATCCTAAACCTAAATTGAAGATGTACTAAATCGAAGCTCTGTACATATTTTAATTAGGGTTCTAGGTAGGAGAGGGAGGTGGGGGATGATAACTTGATGCTCTGGGAAGACGAAATCCATGAATACAGAGCTTTAGGGTAGGACGATTAAGTGATGTCGGAGAAACAAGGGGATGGTTCGGGTGGGGAGGGTCTCCGACGAAGACCACAACAGTGGAGGCCGGAGCATCAGGGGGAAGGTAAGTTGTTGAGTTCTTTGGTCATCACTTTGGCTTCTTTCATTTTTTTTTTATTAACCTGAATATCCAACCCGCTATGCAATCCAACTAATCCCAGGACGATCACATGTTTGACTGGTAGCCTGGAGTCATTGTATTTGAACCTTCATGGTCACAAGAAGATTTTTATTCCTCCTTGGATTTGAACCTGGGACCTCCAGTCATTTTTGACCTTTGGAACCAATCAGGCACCACCCTTGTGGTTAGCTTCTTTCACTTTACAGTCTCGTACCCTTGTATATTCAAATCTAAAACAAAAAACAACCACCACCATTTCTAGGCCCTTCTCCGACCACCACCATTTTGAGCCCCTTGTAATAGTACCTACACCTTGGAGAGATAGGTGGTGGATGACGAAGTCGATGATGGCTCATGGTGGTGAGGGATTCCAGACCAGCATCGTTGGGGGCACGTCGGAAATCGAAGGGTGGGGTGTTTGTTGGGAGGTTTTATCAGTGATCTTTGTATATGTGTATATGCATGTGTGTATGTAAATGTAATATATATATATATATATATATATATATATATATATATATATATTAT